ACTTACTTTGCCAAATTGCCCCGTGTGGGGCAAGCTGGCAAAGTGCACGGGGCAAATCGGCAAACGTCTTGGAGGTAGCCCGTTTTTGAGGATTTTGAAAAGATTTTTACATGGATCAATAGAGGAAAGTCTAACTCATATGTCTGCAGAAGCTTGCAGAAAAATTTCAGAAATTAAGAGAATTACGATTAAAATACTGCAAGGTGGTAGAATTTCGTGCCAATTTACCCCACTCCACTCTACTATGAAAGATGAAACATAGCTTTTTAGCGGCTAAATTAAGCAAAGAAACGGAAAAAATATGTCTTGGCTGGAAATCAAACCCAGGACATCGATTAAGAACAGTAATGCTCTAACCGCTGAGCTACCGAGAAACAATCTTCAACGTACTTTTTCTGAGTGAATGATCTTATTTACCGAAATTTGTACCGTAGCGATACCTCATCCGAGGCAAATTCCACTACATATATCTACCGAAGATTTATTGTGCCATTTGTTCGAAAAAATTTTGAATTATCACAATTGTTTTATATTCTTTCTATTAATTTAGAGATGGTCAGCACAACAACAAATAAGAAAACCAACGATTAGCGCACTAACAAAAACTTCTCAGGTAATTTGTCATTGTACATTTATACTTCATAACTGTCCCGTTCGTAGGTTGGATATGATGTCTTGTTGACGTCGCTAGTTATGAGAAGAAGCGCCAATGCATGATAGTAAACAGAGAAAGGATAATTTTATATTCGTACTTTATCGCTCTATCTGCTCACTCTCTATTAACTATTACATTCTTTGAAGAGATTGGATGAAAATACAATAGAAATGGAAGATTTAGGAAACGATGAACAAGATTACGATATAACTGAAGAAGTAAAACAAGTAAGGAATAATTGCATAATGTGCATAAGAAAAGATATAACTGGTGGTGTGGCTATCGTACTCGATGCGTGGTGATGCGGCCGAGTCCGAATAGTTACGTACTATCCGTCTAGTAAGTTAGAGGAGCTACGTTGTACGTCACAACGGAGAAGTGTGCTATCAGACCAGTTATCCAAAATGTATGAACATAAGAAACTTGTTCTTACTTAGTACATGAGTTGCTGGTCGCTAGCTTTGAACAGTACACTTTTAAAGCACGTGATTAACAACATGAGTCTAAAGAGCAGCTGCTCTTTAATATTAGAATAGTTACACATTACGTTCATGCATTTCTATCGTCGATTCTTTTAGTGGGTCAAGAATTTCAATAAGACATATCCTGAACAACCGTAAGAAAGAAAGTTATACGTAGAGAGAAGTGTTGTCAGTCAATGATATCGTTTGCCGTATGAGGTGTAGTAATTCATACCGGCTTTTAGGTTGCGTGATTATGGCCAAATAAAGTTTCAACGAAATGGACGCTATGCTGAGGTATGCTGAAAAAAATCGATTTTAGTTAGAATTACCGGCGCTTCAAAAATATAAAAAAATAGCTATTTAGTTTAATCTGATTTTAGTATATTCGATTTCCGTTCAATTCTTTGTCAACGGCAAATTTTCAGCAAAATGAGTTGAAAGTAAATGCCAAAGAAATTGTAGAATTCATGACAGCAGCTTGGAGTATGAAAATACCAGAACTAATTATATCTATTACTGGCTCTAATGAGCAACTACGAGGTGTTCCACTTCGAATACGAAATATTTTTAAAAAAGATTTAATTTCTGTAGCTCAAATGACAAGTAAGACGCGTAGTTTCATGAAGCTTCTACTACTCTGAATTTGACCGTTACTGAGCATCAAATTTTGATCACGAATATGCTTTTCAAAAAATTTAAAAATATTGCCAAAGTGTTGAGATCAGTCTTGACTCTTGTCAAAGTGAGGCTTACTGTCAACCATATTTCTATAGCATCTATGGGAGAAAATCGAAAATTACACCAAAATTACTATTGAGGGTATCACAACCCTCTTTTTTACAGAAAAGTTTTCGTTTTGAGCTGAACATAGTCTAATATAAAGGCAAGTCTAGACTATAAAATGAGACCGCTCCCGGTTCTCCATGACCTTCCTGGAAAAATTATGAAGTTTTTAAGTTTTTCCTTCAAAGCCGAGAAAATCATAATTTTTTAGATTCGTAAAGTTTTCTCGCGTTTCCTATATATTCAAATTTTTTTCTTATACATAACATGATAGAAGAAAGTGCGCTCTTCGAAATGAGATATTTTCCAAAATTTTTCGATGATTTTTTTCTAGAGATATAAGCATAGCAACAGGTTTTTTATATGGAATTTTCAGTATTTTTCGGACATCTCGAGAAGGAAAGGATATTTTTCGAAAAGATAAAAGATGAACCTGAGATAGGGTCTGAAGTATCTGTGGTAAAATTTTGAGCTTGATCGAAACATTTTTTCGAGGGATCGTAATGTGTCCCAATGAAAACTGGAGTTTTCATTGGAACCCATAGACAAACACGTCAGAAAAGTCTGGGCAAAAACACCTCGATTTTCTTTTTCTATGTTCTATCTGTGGTACAAATTTGAACCCGATCCGATATCGGCTTCCCCGGTTTCCAAGAGGGTAAAAAAAGAGGGGGAGGGGTACCCATCAGTATTAATATGATATGTTTAAAAGAGTTTAAAGGATAAGATGCGCAGAATGCAAGCTTTCTGTGAGATTTATTTTTCGACATTTTATATACTATTCGATGGAGAATTTCGAGCTGATCACGAATATATGTGCCTCGAAGGTTTTAGAGACTTTTTTCCGGAAAAATTCGAGGGGAGTAAAAAACCCAAAAATAGAAAGGTTTCAACCGGTATAACGCATATAACAAAATCTCTTTCCTATACTTAATTGTAATTTGGATGTAATTTTCAATTTTCTGCTATAAAGAAACATGGTTGACAGTAAGCCTCACTTTGACAAGAGACAAGACTGCTCTCAACACTTTGGCAACATTTTTCAATTTTTTGAAAAGCATATTCATGATCAAAACTTGATGCTCATTTTTTTGAAATCAGTATTGCAGTTTGCTGCAATGATCGAATTCAGAGTAGGAGAAGCTCCATGAAATTACTCAGACGATATACAAGAACTATCCGAATTTCTTTAATCATAATATTTACATCTTATTTTCGAAGAAGCATGGCTCATAACAGGTGGAATGAACATTGGTGTTATGAGAGAAGTGGGCGAAGCTATGGAGAAGTATCAGTACAAATCCTATGATATCCGATGTATTGGAATATGCAGTTGGTTTTATACGAGAGGTACGGATCATGCGTATTTGATAGCAGAAATTCGCTCCAGAATACGGATCAGAACAGATACTAATAAATTCATTATATTATAGATAAAGATACATTAGTAATTTGACATGTATTCCTTGAGAGAATCACTCATACATAAAAAAAAGTACGTCAAATGACGGGAGAAATGTTTTCGTTTTTAACATGTTGATTAGACTCTCTGTTCAATTACCTATCAATTCACGTCTTTTGAGTTTAGAATCTTTTGCCTCCTGAGATATGGAGTTTTTAGAAAAGTCCTAAAACGTTTTTTATTAAAATTGCATGTTTTGTACTGTGTTCCTTTTCCTATCATTGAATTGTATATTACTTGAACGAGTGGATCGAACTAAACAAAATATGATAACTTGAAAAGCTTTCAACCAAATTTTTGCTATAAAAAAAGACTAAAAAACATAACTTTGACAATTTAAAATGATTTTTTTGTGCAAATTGATTATTTTAAGATCAATATTAAAAAAATCATGCGACTTTAAATAAAAAAGTTTTAGGACTTTTCTAAAAACTCTATATCTCATGAGGCAAAAGATTCTAAACTCAAAAGACGTGAATTGATAGGTAATTGAACAGAGAGTCTAATCAGCATGTTAAAAACGAAAACGGTTTTCTCCTCATTTGACCTTTTTGAATGAATCCGTGAGCCGTCTCTTAAGTGCTCGTTAACTTCATCCTTGATATCAAATCAGAATTAGTTGATTCAAAAAGCAACTAAACTGAAGCCTTTTATTATTGCAGATTATGAAAATCTTGAAAACGTTGGCCAACAAAGCGCAAAAGTAAATAATTCAAAATCACCGTAGCATTATTTGCGGTTTTAAAATTATTCCATGTCATTCAATAGAAACAAAAAGTTTATGGACTGGTAAAAACAAGAAATGGTGAACAACAAAAAGAAACAGATCTCAATTCCTATCATACACATTTTTTAATGATGGATGATGGTCGAGTTACTACGAATGATTGGAAATTAGCTGAAGAAAATGTAAAATGTCGAGCTGAACTAGTTTTTCCTATAAGAACAGAAATAGAGCAACAGTGTCGAAATATGCTCAAAATACCCAATATCGAACGATGTATTAACCGTGTAGTCACACGAATATCAGATTTGACTAGGAGAATGGACTGCATTTCACAAAAACAAAATGTAGATATAATTGCTCAAATTCATAAAGATTTATCCATGATAACCGATATCATTGATACAGAAACAGAAGCAAAAAACAGAAAAATTCGAAGTTTGCATGGAGTTAAACGGCAAACAGCTGTTTTACTATATAGAATACAAAATTTGAAAGATGCACTTACTGATGTAATGCAGAATGATCAAGATCAAAGAAAAGAGTTTGCAAAAAACCTCTTGGTAAAAGTAGAGATAGACGCGATGAAATTGAGAACAGGTAAAAAAATCTCGAAATCATGCTTGGCTTAACTGACATCTTTCTTTTTCAGCATACAATCACCTTGCAGTACCATTAGTTCAAATAGTATTTAGTGGTGCGTATCCATCTTCTTGTTGTCTTCTTAAAACATTTAAAACTATTGCTTAAAGTATCGCTCAACGTTGGAGATGTCAAATTTTCGCCAAAAATATTTACTCTACAAATTAGACATTGATTCCGGCATTTTACTAAAATATTAGAACTTCGGAAAAATCAGTTTCTGGTTTTTTTAGAAAATTTTCTTCTGTATAGAAACTGTCAGAATCCTTTCATATTGGCAGATCAGTATGGCTTCTAAGAGCAGACGTCTTCATTCATGTGATTAGCTCAATATTGACTTCTTCTTTCATAAAAAGAATTCTATATTTCAGACAAGAGTGGTTTTGACTGCACTGGAGCTGATTTTTCTATAAAAGAGAATTTTTGACATTTTAGAGCTGATTTCGGTCAGATTTTCCAGGTCTAAATCAGCACAAATCAGACAATGCCAATTCTGAAAACCACTAGGTCACGAATAGGGATGTGAAAAACTGAAAAAAGCAATTTCAGTCCTTCAAAAGAGAAAAAAGTTAACTTTATGAATGTTTTCAGAAAAAACATGCCGATTTTGGACAAATGAAAAGGACGTCATTTTCTGTTCTTTGAGTAAATCGTATTTTTTTTTGCTATGTATATTAATGCAGGCGAAACAACATCAATCTCAACGATTTACCGATCTATCATTTCTAATACACCAGTGATATTGATTAAGGTGCGTATTATGTAACAACTAAAAGCTAACTTTCGTCGACATGAGGCTACAAGATATTGAAATTTAATTTAATTTTATATTTAGGGTACAGGAGGAGCTAGTGATATGCTTGCTACATTATACGAAGTTCTCTATGGAAAAGAAATACTCAGATCCGATTATATTTATCATCAACAAATTCGAAATAAAAACAAGGAATAGTAAGGACAATCTTTATTCGCGAACAGAACCAAGTAATACATATCATAATTAGTTTTTAACGACATTCGTAAATCTTTCCACAAATAATGAGCTTATTGATACAGTACTCTGCAAAAGTAACGACATCCATGTAACTAGAGAACCAGCTACCAACTGCTAATTTTGTGTGATCATAGCTTTCATCGAATACTGATCATTCCGACAGTATGAACCTCTTTTATCTTTACGTTTCGTGCGATATAATCGTTTCATTTTTTTTCCGTAAAATACTGATAATTCTTGATTCAGGCGAAATGAAAACGTTTTCGTTTTCAATATTACTAACAATATTACTAACAAATATTCAAACGTGGGTACCTAGAATTAAGAAGCAAACACAAAGCCTTCTGAGCTACAGACGATTGAAGCATGAACCGCATCACAACAGTGTAATTCGTTCATTTCTAATCAGCCTAAAAGCGATGGTATTTGTTTCTTAATCTATTACAGCGCACATTTTTATAAGCTTAAAGCCCTTTTCATGAATTTTGTCATGAGCGACACACAACGTTTGTTTGTTCATTTATTCACTTCTCCTCCATAGTCATTTAAAGAAAAGAGACCGTTGAGTTCGTTTATTTACCGAAGATTTTCTAGAAATTTGTCTTAATCGTCTTCGTTTAGTTGTTTTTTAGGCGATAAAAGGAATTAACCGACGTTTGAGCGCCGACACTTTTAGCGCCCCGACATTTGAGCGATCGACACTTGAGCGACCGACACTTGAGCGATCGACATTTGAGTAATAACCACAGTTCAGCACCAAGTGATCACCCTCACCCTCACCCCCACTCAGCATCACCCTCTACAGATCTCCAAATAATTCAGTTCATAATCGGACGACAAAAAAATTGTTCTGATCATCGTTATCGAAGTGAATAATCATTCGACTTTCCTGATCGGCAAAAAGTCATATTGAAAAGTGTCTAATGTCGGAGTCGCTCAAATGTCGGGCGCACAAATGTCGCGCGCTCCAACGTCGGTTGACGGATAAAAGGACAAAAAGAGCAGAAGAACAGAAATCTCAGTCTTATGTACGAAACTTGTTTTACGTTCACCGTAACCTCAGTGTTTCTAATGATAAGTGCACTAAGCGGAAGTAAAATGTACGTGCACTCTGAATTTATGAAATGTACTTTGCTTTTCAGAGTTTTTGCTGGAGTGCACTTTGTAAAAAGAAATTTTTACGCCTGTTATGTACTTTGTTAGAAAAAACAAAGTGCACCGGCGCATTTCGATTCAAAATCCTATTAGCAATACTGCATAGCCTACGTCCGCTAAACGTCTATTTAATTTTTCCGTTCGAGAATAACCGTATCTTGAAATACTGGAACGCGTCATTTTCTAACGTATCCGAACGCGTTCACAATCCTTCAACGCTGGAAAACGCATCAACTCATACCTGTAACGCGGTTCGATGCGTTCGTTTCTAACGCGTTTAAATGCAACACAAGTTCGCTCCTCCGAATGCGTCAATTTATTGTAAAATCGTCCTGCTAAAGGCGTCAAAACTTGCCGCCTGCCTAGGCGTTACTGTTTCACAAACGCGTTATTCTGCGTGAAATTTGGACGCGCTTTACTTTAACTAACGCGTTCAGTGGCTGCTAAAACGTATCAAAACACGTCAGATGTGTCAAGTAACGCGTTTATAGATGCGCTAACTTACAAAAAATGTTTGTTTGGGGAGTGCCGCTACTTCTGCAGAGTACTGTAGTCATTCCCCAAACTGAGTATTGGAACTGAGTATTGGAAATAATGCATATTGTATAGATTTGCAAACTGTTTCAATTTTCTCAAAACCAATAAGCTTAGGTAAAATGTTTAAAAATTATTTTCAGCAAGCATAAACTGGATATGTATACTTCAGAAAAAATTATCACAAATGATTATAGCAGGAAACTTGTGAATGAAATTATTAAATCAAAAGAAGGATATTATTTAATATCTGTATGTCAACCTGGCGAGCATAAATTGGATAATGTGATTTTGCAGGCTTTAAACAGCGGTAATGGTTAATTTTTGTCTTTACTACGCTTTTACTATCTTCTTCATTGTATTTTCATAGCTGCTAAATTAGCTGGAGATAATGAACAAAGACTTGCGGTTATAGATATGAAGTTAGCCATTATGTTTAAAAACATTGAAAAAGCTAAAACACAAATATTAACGGATGAAAACATCGTTAAATGGGAGGTAACAGAATAATTGAATAATTGTGTACTTTCAGAAGTTATCCCATTTGATTTATTTTGATTAGAATGAAGAACTAGACGAGTGTTTAGAAGAAGCATTATGGTGCGGCTCAGTGCCATTTGTGGAGTTATTACTTGAATTTGGCGCCACATTTAAACGGTTAGCAGCGTTCACAACAATTGAGTATTTCTATCAAATAGATAGTGAGAAAGTAAGAGTGTATACCCTTACTTAACATCAACTTTACCCGCTTGTTATTTTAGAAAGCTGGACGTATCAATGAAGCATTCATGCAGGAATATACATCAGAGAAGGTGAATGTTTTTCTTATAAAGCTAAAATTAAACCTATTAGAAAAAACGCAAACTACATGCCGTGTGAATATGGAAAGAAAATAAAGATTCATTTGCTTCAGATCGTTCAGTTTATTCAGTGGCTAATATTCGACTTCCTGTAGTTTGTTGAGGTATAGAAAATTGTATGTTCAATTACCACCTAACAATTACAAAAGATAGTTAGATTTATTGAATAATAGATCATCAGGAGATCGTCAGGCAGCTAAATACCGCTAATTTCTGTATATGTAGGCTTATGACACGCCTCGGTTTTAACCTTTTTGCCAGATAGAAAATAATGAAAAAACGCATTGTATCGACTATTGAATTCATCTGAATCATGCTTCCAAAATCCGATTCATCGATAGGCTTTGAAACTGCACAGAGGAAAAAATACCGCAAGAAGAATCATGAACTAAAAAACTACATTATGAAAATCGTAAAATGCAAAAGTATAAAAGAAAAACTATGGCAGTAAAACCGTAGAAACAAAACCCCACTTTCGAACCATCGAAGGGAAACGCTAAAATAAAATTGTCAGTTTAAGAACTGTACAATTAAAATCGTGAAAAAATATCATAAAGATCAAAACTGTAGAAATAAGGTCATGAACTGACAGTTTGTCAAAGGAAAACAATGAAAATAAAAGCGTGAAGAGGAAAACCGTGAAAGAGTTTTCATACTTTTTAGTTGACGGTTTTATCGAAGCTTCAAAATTCATTAAAACATGTGCGGTTTCAGTCGTTAGCACGTCAAAAGTCCTCCTAATCAACTAACATAAGTTTTATAAAGCGACTTTTGAGCTTTTCGATAAATCTATCTCACACTCAGGATTATTCAATAAAGAGTATTAGCCGGGTAGATAAAAGAGTAAAACTGGCACCTGGGACAAGGAGGAGAGGAAGACCTCTTCCAGCGCCTGTTTCTACAAAAAATACTCGTTTTGTGAACTTTCTCGTTTTACAAAGTCTTTTCTTTGAAGCAGCGACTATCTTGAAATTGTTCTGATGCCTATAGTCTTAGAAGGTAGAGGGGAAGGGTATAGTGAATATCTTTTCCTAACCATAAGTTTCTAGACGTTCGTCATACATTACACTAGTTGGTATCATATGATATATATGCACACCTATACAGTTAGCGTTTCTCTGTTATATCTCAAATGCATGTGCGATAGCAAGGAACTTTACAAATTCAACAGCGACAGCCTTTCGTAAGATGTTTAAGTTTTTACAGAAGTCTGTCCAAGGACATGATGAGTATGCATCGCGAAGACATACTTCTGTAAGTTCCTCAGCTCAGTGGTTTGTGCCTTGGTGTCATAATTCATACTCGCAATATTTAAGAGCCATTATCTACTAGACTCAGACAGAAGTGATTGTTGATGCCACAAATTTAACTGCTATTCATATCGGTTGTAGGTCTATATGTAACTAGATAATCATTTAAATAGCGTCATTTAAAGCTGCTTCGTTCTCGAAGTAAAGAGGGCACAAGAGATGGCACCACAAATTGATCATTCTCTTGACGTTTAGAATTCAGTTTTTTCACCTATACACACCAGCTTTGAAAGCTATCTTTTAATATGAATCTATACTTCAGAATACGGGCTATCATTTCCGTCCCTTTACAGATTTTAATACCGCTCCGCCAAAATAGAATTAACCCGATTTTCTCTGTGCGGCAAAATGTTTATGGCTCAAGCTTTATATCAAAATGTAGGCCACACTCGGATGTATTTAGGCAGCAGATTTTGGTTTCGGGCCGATTCTTTTTCCTAGAATATTTCTCAAAAAAACCGCTTTTTCAGAAAACCGCAAACCGTGAAGATCTCCTTGGAACATTTTTTCGCCCTCACCAGATTGTAACTCGTAAAATTCTGATAAAAATAAGACGTCTTCCAGCTCTGTATGTATTTTTCTGAACGAGATGCGAATTTCACAAAATTCTCATAGGAGCCTACAGTATATTCCATGAATATTTCACAAATTATTTAATTAATTAATTATCTAGTTACATATAGACCTACAACTGGTATGAATAGCAGTTAAATCTGTGACATCAACAATCACTGTCTGTCTGAGTCTTGTAGATAATGGCTCTTAAATATTCTAGCGTTGCGTTATCGGTAGTCTGTTTTACGATTAGCTAATTCCGGCTCATAGGAGATTTCTGATACAAATTTCTGCTCTTCTTCATGGATGATTCAAGATCTGCTAGATAAATTTAACTAGCTTCTACCGTCTTAGTGTGATTTTTATGCACTATAGATTATATTTATAAAGCGCATCTGTTCTTAATCTTTGTTTAGAGAGCCAGTACAAATGCAGTAGAATTGAGTGTGGTTGGGAACATGCGACACAATAGAACTGTAAGAAAAAATGTTTGATTTTCACATACAAATTGTTGATTTTGTTCTTACGTTTCACTGTCCTCTTGTGACATTTGACTTGAGCTGCAAGCGGTTCCACGCAGAGGCAGTTTTTCCATTTTTAGTGCTATAGGGCGGCTAACAGGGGTGTAAGGTTATTACAGAACCCAGAACAGTTCGTCTTCTAGTTTTCGAAACATTTGTATCGGACGTGACAGGTTTGAGACGTATTTCAATAATAAGTCGGTTTTCGAACGTCTTCCTTAGAAAATATATCTGATGCGTCCCTAACGCCAAGAGGTGTAGCAGCACTACAGACAATATGAGATAATATGAATCCGTTGTTGAAAATTCTGATACAACGATGTCATATGTTTGTACTTCTGAATAGGTAGAATATGTGTTCTTTTTTTTCTGCAGAATGCAAAAACTCCCGCCGACCTGGGTGAGTCAATTCATAATTATGTAAATTGTGTAATAATAATCCAGCTTGTACGCAAGGAAGAAGATTAAAATAAATGTACGAAAAATTATATTGAAGAACTTATTTTATCTTCATTTTAAGTTTTTTTGGTAGCATTAATACCTGTGGTGAAGAATCTACGATGCATCTTTTTATAGTGTTCGTTCGACAACTCTTCTTCTTGTCACTGGAAATGAATCGCTCTGAATTAGCGATGTGTATATGTTGCAGAATGCTGGTAAATTTAGCAGAAGACTGAGCGAAAAAGACGAAGAAATGTACTAACAAGTTTACTTCTAGAATCCTATTGTAGGTATTCTAATGGCTGTTAGAACGTATCAAACTGCCGTGAAAGATGATGTATGGGATTATAAAACCAAGATAGAATATCGTCTTAAAGAAAAGTACGTATGATTAATTATAAAAGTAAAGCATTAAGGGTATTCCCCCCCCCTCTTTTTTTACCCTCTTAGAAACTAGGGAAACTGATGTCGGATAGTGTTCTAATTTATACCAGAGATAGAACATAGAAAAATGTTAGGAAGTGTCATATCAACAGTTGTCATCTTTCAATATACAAATGTGAGGTTATTCCTTTCAGAATCGTTTTGCATCCAATGGTTAATAGCCAAAGAAGAATATAACTGTTACACACTTTATTTCAGTAAATTAACAACTATATATAGTATATTTCAGCTACCAAAAGATCTCTTAGGAAAACTGGGAAAAACACATATTGTAAAAGAGAGAGAGAGAGAAGAATAGATATGAAAAATACCCATCGAAGAGTGATCAGAAAGAGAAAACATATATCGTATAAAAGAAGAGTGACTACATTTAACAGAAGAACAGAAAGAGAAAATAACCATCGAGTGAAGAGAAAATGTATATTGAAAGATGACAGCTGTTGGTATGACACTTCCTAACAAAAAGAAAATCGAGGTATTTTCGTCCAGACTTTTCCGACCTGTTTTTCTATGGGTTTTCTGGAAAACTCCAGTGCTCACGCCGAAAGTTGAAATTGAAAACGCTTTAAAAGAAATGAAGCTGAGATAGGGTCTAAAGTATCTGTGGTAAAAATTTTTCTAGGGGTGGTAATGTGTGACAATTGAAGTGACTATTGAAAAAGCGCATAGTGAGAAAAACACATATTGTACCCATGGCTCTGTTTTCCAGGGCATTTACGACTATGCTTATATCTCTAAGAAAACTCACCGAAAATTCTGGAAAATATCTCATTTTGAAGAGCACACTTTCTTCGATCATGCTATGTATAAGAAAAAAATTTGAATATATAGGAAACGAGAGCAAACTTTACAAATCTAAAAAATTGAGATTTTTCTAGGCTTTGAACGAAAAAATTCGTAATTTCAAGGAAGGTCATGGAGAGCTGCGAGTGGTCTCATTTTATAGCTCACAATGGAACGGTTTGTACTGTCAAGCCGCTTTCAAGTTCGGAGCATGTGTATTAGACAGACCCCGGTGAAGTATAAAAACCCCAAAAGGCTATGTGCTGATGGGCCTTCTCTCCAGAGTTACAGTCATTATACTGGAATTTTAGCCTATTGCATGGTATCTACCAAAAACACTAATCACGATATTTCGACCTGAAATTTTGCCCACAAGTAGGCCTACTTGTAACTAGAATGTTCTGCAAATTTCAGTTCAAAAGAATGTTCCGTTCATAAAATATTGAGTTTCCCAAAAACCTGACATTCTCCAATCTTTTCGTAGAACATGAGTGATTTTGGAAATTCAATATTTCAAGAAGGTAACATTCTTTTGAACTGATATTTGCAGAACATTCTAGTTACAAGCAGGCCTACTTGTGGACAAAATTTCAGGTCGAAATATCGTGATTAGTGTTTTTGGTATGTATCATGCAATAGGCTAAAATTCCAGTATAATGACTGTAACTCTGGAGAGAAGGCCCATCAGCACATAGCCTTTTGGGTTTTTTTATACCTCACCGGGGTCTGCCTAATACACATACTCCGAACTTGAAAGTGGCTTGACAGTACAAACCGTTCCATTGTCAGACTTTCCTCTACATTAGACTATGTTCAACTCAAAATGATAACTTATCTGCAAAAAAGAGGGAGGTGTACCCTTAAAAACATTTACTGATGTTTTTCTTTAGACAATTTGGTAATTATGCTGCTGCTATAATCGATAAATGTTTTGCTGTCGATAAAAAGATGGCACTGAATATACTTGAAAAGCGGTCAAAACATTTTTTTAATCGAAATCCATTAGAATTAGCAGATGAGTGTCAGTGCAGGGAATTTCTTGCCACAGAGTGTGTTCAGAAATATTTGGATAATGAATGGTACGGTGAAAATGAACATCAAAATCAGAAAATGATGAATATTTTGGTAACAGATAGCTTTTGTGTCAGTAATCAAAATATACCCTCTAAACTTTTTTAGGTATTTTTTGTATGCCTTTGTCCACTACTCGTATTTCAACCATTTTTTTATCAGCACCTTCTTCCAGTAAAGGTAATGAAAAGTCTCCAGGAAATAGGTGACACTTTGCTTAGGTTTGATTTTTTTCCATTAGGATCTCAATGATTCGTCCAGGAAAGACGGGTATTATAGAAAATTTTTTTCAATTTGAGCTATAAATTTTAGTTTATTTAGAAAATCTATTACAACAAATAAGCGAAGTTACGCAAAATTTATCACTTTTTATACAAAAAGTGCAATTGTCCGCTTTTACTACAATGTTGTAAGTACTTTTTGCTTTCTTACCCATGTAAATATTTTTCGATCGTATACGCGTCTGAAAACGCGTTTTATGCTGCGTTTAATCGCTCCGAAAATGCACCATTTGCTAGCGTTTAAACGCGTTTTTCCCAGGCGCGTTTAAACGCGTTTTTTCCAAGACGCGCTTAAACGCGTTTTATCAGGGGAAGGCGCGCTTAAACGCGTTTTTACTAGACGCGTCTGAGTGCATCGAAAATGCACCATTTGCTAGCGTTTAAACGCGTTTTTCCTGGACG